GCATATGTTTCATGTGTGTAATGTATGCATATGTGCATTATGATGTTTATGCGTGTTATGTATACAAATTTTATTTAAAATAATAATTATTAATTGTAATATAATTTTCTAATAAATTTTTCAAGTGAATCCTTAAAAATTGTAAATAGGTTCACGAGAAACATACCGATCTTTATCATAATCTTTTTTTTCTACGTGTCTATCTTCGTCGCGTCGATCACGAGGATGTCTATCATCGCGATCTTTTTCTTTTTCACGTCTATCTCGATCATCTTTTTCTCGTATTCTGTCATCATGGTCTCTTGGTAATGCTGGTCTATCACGATCTTCTCGTTCTCTATTTACAATTCTCCTATCTCTATCTTCTCTTGCACGATCATCGCGTTCACGAACTCTGTATAAAGATATATATATATATAGATATATATATATATATATAGATATATATATATATATATAGATAAACTAGATACTATATTAAAAACCTTTCCTTTTGTATTACATGTTAAATATATTTCTATTTGAAGTATTTTACCTATCATCTCTAAATGCCAATCTATCACGATCCTCAGTATCATGATCCTTTAATGAATGTTCACGATCCTCTTGATCTCTTAATATACGTGTCCTTTCGCGATCTTCTCGTAAAGGTCTATCCAAATGTTCAACACCTGGAGGAGAAAGATCATAATAACCTTCGGTTCCTGGAGGTGCAACATCGTCAAATCGTTTATGAGATGAATCTCGAAGTGGACTACCAAAACGTTGAGAAGGTCCAGAATATCTGTTGACAAAAAGTAGAGAAAACTGATCATGCATCTATTACATAATAAAAAGAAATACGATAATAGTTTTGATATGTCAAAGTAAAAAAATTAGTATACAAATTTTATATACCCTTAATATTTTCGCACATTCACCAATACCTTTTGCTTTAGAAGTCATATATAAATTTAGAAGTGAATTATGTTACCCTGGTTAAAAATAATCACAATGCATTTTCTGTCATGTTAAGTATAAATATCTCTTTATCTCATCCAAAGAGTTATCAAAATCATAAACTTAATTTTAACAGTAAATGCAATAAGGATAATATATGTAAGTTATTTCTTTTTAATTATCATTATTTTCCATATTCTTCTCCATTTGCTAAGTACTTTATTAAACTTTTAATAATACAAAACTTTAGATAACAGATGAAATGTGTTGTGTTGTAACTGACAATAAATTAAATATTTAAAATAAGATTTCACAAAATCGTTTCATCCACATTTGAAAAATTTTTGTTCAAAGCCAAAATATTCTACAAAGTATAACAACTCAGAATA